CCGGAGCTGGCTCTACTGGGGGGAGTCCTTCCGATATTTCGCCTCCAGACTCAGCCCGTGCCTCCAGTAGCCGTGGAATGTAGTAGTTCTTTTGAAACTCCATCATCGACATACGAGGTTGCCCACTCGCCACCCTCTTGGCCGTTTCCTGTCGCCAGAGTTTGTAAAACTCTTCCCTGTTCAGCTTGCGGCGCCCATCCCAATTGAGTTCAGCAGACGTGGGTTCTGGGACGGCGGCCGAGGCGAGCGGTACCGTTTGTGCAGGCGTGGGAGCCGGTGACGTGGCCGGTGTCGGTATAGGCGTAGGATTAGCCTTGGTCATAGGATCAAGGACAAGCCTTTCAGTGAAGGGGCCGGGGTGTGTGACATCGTCGTCCACATAGGGCGTGAGCTTCAGAGAAGCAGCTGTAGGTGTCTCGAGACTATAGACCTTCTCGAGGTTCTTCATGCGGGGAGGGAAACCCGGCTTAGGAGGTCGTACGATCTGAGAAGATGACGACGGCGAGGCTGCCGCAACCGACTCATCACCTTGTGTGGTGATAGGTGGGGATGGCGGACGATTGCTTGGTTGAGAGTTAACCTTTGAAGAAGAGGTCGGTGGCGAGGGATGGGCTTGTGGAATCAATTCTGGCACGGAGTGCAAATTGCTTGCTTCATCTTGCTCTGTGGGCTCCTCCTTAAAATGCCCATCATGAAGCAGATTTTGGCGACTTGGGTGATGATCCGATGGACCTGATTTCTCGATCTCGTCCGAGGCGGCAGATACCTGGTGTGAACATGGCTCATTGGTCGAGGTTTTGTTGGAAGAAGCGGTGTTACCACTTTCCCGTGTCGATGGATTTCGCGTCGATTCATCCTCATTGCTGATGCGTGCAATGTTGTCATCCTTGGGCGCCTGTACTGCTTCATCAGCAGTGGGAGGCAATGGCTGTTCACCTTGAGAGACAGCACCGCTTCCCTTGGGCTTTGGCGACTGATCCTCCGCGGATGCACCTTGAACTGTGGACTGCTCCACCTCTTCGTCTACTTCAAGTATCTCATCCATCGAGACACCAACCAAGATGGTGTCTTGCACGTCATTGTCTGACTGATGCTCAACATAAGTGCTCTGCGCGGTAGCTGGTTTCTTAGACGCTGGCTTCCGGTGAGAGGATGAGTTACGTGCAGGAGCCGGAGACTTGTTGCTCCGCTTGTTCCGCAAGGCCGTATGATCATGGTCCTTGACTTCTTCAGCCTCAGACTCCCCTTGGGTACCCCTTCGCCGGCGTCCACGGGTGGCTGGTATGGCGGCAGTCTTGATAAACGAATCGACTCTGGTGAGGGGAGCGCCCGAAACATCCTCAATTGTCTCCTGGTTGTAATCGACCTTTTGACGCTTCCTAAGAGAGTGGCCACCTTTGTCATTTGAGTTTCCCTCACCGTGCTCAACAATGGCTTCATGAGAGGAGTCAAAGGTCTTGGACCTTTTGCGAGCTGATGATGTGCCAGCAGGCATGGCAATGTTCGAAGGGACCTCAAAGGTGAATGGAGTGGTTTGGATGATGCGATCACTATGCGGAGTGACGCGGAAAGAAGAGGTAGAATCTGGAGCGGTTGGAGAAGCAGTGCGGCGCTGTTGATGGCTTGCATAAACGACTTGCCTGCTCCTAGCACCTCGGAAGGAGCTGGTTGAAGAAGCGCGTTGATGGCCTGGTCGTTGATGGGCCTGTTGCTGGTATTGCTGCTGTTGTTGCTGCTGCTCGAATTGTTGACCCTGAGTTTGATGCCCATGCATCTGCGGATATGCGTGCATTGAAGGGTGTGGTTGATTGTTCTCCGAATGCGCTGTAAAGGAGAATGGAGGATTCTGAGTGGACAGATCCGAAA